GGGCAGCAGCCAGGCGGATGGAAGGACCGCCAGCCAGGACGGCGTCGGTCGCCGCGTGGCGGCACGGCTCCAGCGCGAGCGCGGGCCACAGCTCTTCATGCCCGACGACGTGGGCAGCGCGGTGGGACTGCCGCTGCGGCACCGCGCGCAGTGGGTCGGCGGCGCCAGCGCGTTGCCGTTCGCATGCGACCGCTGCGGGGTACGCTGCAGGGACCGCGTCCAGCTGGAAGCGGGGCTGTGCCGCGGGACGCCTGCCGCCGTGCTGGCGGCCGACGCGACGCACCGCCTGATGACCATGGGCGACGTGGTGTTCTGCAGCTCCTGCGGGGCAAGGGCTAGTGGAGGAGCGGCCATCCTGCTGGCGGAGAAGTGCCTGGGCAAGGTCGCCAATGCCACGGCTGGCACAAGGCTGAACAGGATGAAGGCGGGGAAGCACCCGCTCACGGGCCACCTCATCGGCGAGCCCGTCCCGCTGGTGGCGCGCGTGGAGGAGGCCCCAGCGGAGGAGGTGCCGATGACGGCATGAGGATCGAGGGCGGCGTGCCGCCCAGCCTGGGCACTGCTGCGGCCGTTCGGCCAGCTGGGCGGCGGCGGGAGGGCGCTGGGCGGCGCGCGGCCACAGGCGCAGCGCGGCGGCGGCCTGCGCCGTGCCGCGCGTGCGCCGCGGGGGGCTGGCGGCTGCGGCCGTAGGCCCGTGCTCGCCCGCGCGGCGGCGGCGGACGGCGCCGTGCCACGAGGGCGTGCTGCGCCCGCGGCGGCGAGGCGGGGGTCGCCGCGCCGCGCGGGCGCTCGGGCGGCGCGCCGAGACAGACGGCCCGCCGCGCAAGTGGGTGCGGTTCCTCCTCCGGCCTCCTCCTCCTCCTCCTCCTCCTCCTCCTCCTCCTCCTCCTCCTCCTCCGGCCTCCTCCTCCTCCTCCTCCTCGCCTCTGATGCTCTCTCCCGCGGCGGCGCCTCGCCGCGGGCGTCCCCGGGTGTGCCCTGACCGCCCCGCACGTACACGGCTGGCAGGAGGCCCGAGCGGCGCCCCCGAAGGGCCCATGAGCTGCGGCGGTGCTCACGGTGCCCCCGGGCCTCCCTCGGCCGGGGGCCCCCACGATCGGGGGAGAAAAGATACGGATACGTGTTGTCCCCCGTCGTTTTCGGCCTTTCTTGGTCCTCCTGGGGAATCCTCGTTGTCACCGCTGGATTCGCCTCGAAATTCTGGTCAGAACGCACCCCAAGAGAGGTCCGGGGACAACACGTATCCGTATCTTTCCGCCCCCCAACACGAGGGGAGCAAAGAGAGGCCAGGAGCAGAAGCGCCCCCAGGGGGGGGGGGGGTCCAGCGCAGATCCAGGATATCCACGCGGAGCGCCAAGAGCTTCTGGTGGTGCAGTTGTCTCTTCTTCCTTCCATTCGAGCACCGTGGAAGTGCTGACATTGGAGGGATTTCGTGTGTCCATCCCTGGGAGGCGATACTCGCTCGGCACTTCGCCGGCGTGTCGTTACGATGCCTCGGGTGCTCGGAAGTATGCCTGTGGTGCGGTCTTCAAGAACGAGGAGAACAACAGCAGACGATGTGGCTCTTCACCAATCCCTGCGGCGATCCTCGACCTCGGCCTTTCGGGCTCCCAGCCGCGGCCGGCGCCCCAGGCGTGCCCGTGGAGCACCTCCCCGCGTCCGCGTGCGGCACCGGCACGTGTGGCGGGCCGCCCACCGTGGAGCCCGCGCCGGTCGTCGCAGAGGCCGCCTCCCGCCCGCACGGTCTCCCCCCCGGGAGGGCCCCCTCCCCGCTTCTCTCTCGTCGGGGCTCAAGAGGCAGGGGTCCATGCAGGCGGAGGGTCCGTCAGAGCATCGAGCATCGTGTTGTGCAGGAGTCTGCAGAGCCAGGGGTGCACTGACCCGGGTTTCCTGCGGGATCTTACAGGGTTTTGCAAGGCCTGACGGACCCAGGCTTGGATTGTCTCGGGTCAGTAGATCCCCGATTTTGTCGGCTACACGTAGGAGTCACCTTTCGCCAGAATGACCTTTGGTGCGAGTTCAATGGGGCCCTTCGATCAGTGAATGCGCTACGACAGCAGCGGCTTGCCCGCCTGGCGGTGTCCCCGAAGGGCCCGTTTTGAGCCACGCACCATTCGGCGGCGAGCGGGGGGGAATTGAGAAGGAGAAGGCCTTCTCAGAAGGCGGCGGGACTTCTCAGAAGCCCTCGCGCCTTCTGAGAAGTTGTTTCTGTCTACGGGGAAGGCTTAGAAAACTTCTCAGAAGTCCGGGGACTTCGGAGCCTTCTAAGAAGGCACGTTCCTTCTCACTTCCCCCCTGGCTCGCCGCCTAACCATAGGTCACTCTTGCCTCGGGTCACTTTTGCGCGTAGCCGATCTTGCCGGCGTCGCCCCAGCACCGCCGACGTCGCCGATACAATGGCGATGCATCGGCGATGCATCAACGGTGCGGTGCGATCCTCCGACCACATCCACTCGGACCCCACCTGGAAGGCCTCATTGGCGGCGCGCAGTTGAGGGTAGGGGGAGGGGGGGCGAGCACGACGAAGCCACACAGCCCTCGAGTTGTGATTCCGCATTGCGACTCCGCCTGGCTCCGGGACGTGTCGAGAAACTTCTGGATTCGAGCTTCGGCGGCTCGGGCCAAAACGGATTCCAGGGGCGAGCAGATGCTTCCGAGCTTTCCGCCACAGGGTGCGCGGGTAGACTCTGTTCGACGACTGTGCGTCTGGCAGTGGCCATCGGGAGGCAGACTCTCTCGGGAACGTATGGGCCCCGAGGAGGGAGGCGGCCCAGTCCACGCCGCACGCCCCCAAGAGGGGGAGAGTCAGCCGCAGCGTCAGCCGCAGCCGCTGCGAGGGGGAGGAGGAGGAGGAGGAGGTGGAAGAGGAGGAGGAGGAGGTGGACAAGGAGGAGGATGGAGAGGTGGAGGAGGCGGAGGAGGAGGAGGAGGAGGAGGAGGAGGAGGAGGGGGAGGGGGAGGGCGAGGAGGAGGAGGAGGCTGCGGAGGGCGAGGAGGAGGAGGAGGAGGAGGAGGAGGCTGCGGCCCCGATACACTTGGGGGGGTCCGCCGCCCGGGCGCCGCGGCCCCCCCCCCCCGCGCGGGCCCTCCCACCCGAGAGCGGGAGGCGCGGGAGCGCCCGGCTGAGCGCGGGTTGGGCGACGCCGGCTTCCAGGAGCCGCTGCTGGGGGGGGGGGGGCCACGAGCGGCGAAGGCATCCTCCGAATCTCCCCGCCCCTCGCGGTCCGGATGCCGGGGAGCGGCCCCGCGGGTTCGGCGGCCGCCCGCCGTCGCTCCGCGCTTCGGGCGTGAGCCGCAGGAACGCCACGTGTCCGCTGGGTCGCGGCCCATGGGGCCCGGCCCGCGAGGCCGCGGATAGGGAGACGTGTTTCGCCCATGAGTGGGGTCTGCCTCTTCCCTTGCTTCGGAGGGCACCAACTATACACCAACACCGATCCTGGCCCAGGATCACCCTGGGCCCACGATCGGTGTATATGCCTTCTTGCGCAAGGCAGGAAGGCGTATACACCGATCCTGGGCCCAGGGTGATCCTGGGCCAGGATCGGTGTTGGTGTATAGTTGGTGTCTTCCTATTGCTGCCGCCGAAGCCGCTGCTGCTCCTCCTCTGGCTCAGCTCGGGGAGGAGATCAGGGGAGGAAAAAGCCCCTGCCTGGTTTTCGCGCTCTGGTGCCTCCTGGGAGGCCATCGTCGCCACGGGTGGATCATCGTCGAAGTTCTAGTCAGAACCCACCCCAGGAGAGGTCCGGGGACTGGCGGTATCGGGACCTGTTGGTTTCCCCATCTTCCTCCACCGATTTCGGGATCGGGGCTCCCTCACCGGGCGATAGAAGAAATATAGTGAACCTTTATCCAGCTGTCTGCGCCCAGTCCCACTACCGTGCCAGGCCAGCATTCTAGGTGGCGGCTGTTCGCGGGAGCAAGGGAGGCCGTCACGTGTCTCCAGGCTTGGGCGAGCCGTGATGAGGCTGATGAGGATTATGAGGACGCCCCGAGGGGCCCCCAAGCGGCGCCCAGAGGCCACCCAGAGCGCCCGAAGAGGCCCCGGGATGGCCCAAGACGGCCCCAAGACGGCCCAAGACAGCCCAAGACAGCCCAAGATGGCGCCAAGATGGCCTGAGAGAGCCCCCACAGAACCCTAAGACAGCCCAAGAAGACCCCATTAGCCCCCAAGGGAACCACGACAAGCCCCCAACGGGCCCCCAGGATGACTCAAGATAGCCCCAGTCGACGTCATTTTCGTCGGGCTCCTTACCGTTCTTCTTCTTCTTCGTCGTCGGCGTCGTCGTCCTTCTTCTTGTCCTCCTCCGCATCCTCCTCCTCCGCTTCGTTCCTCCTCGCATTCGTCCTCATGGCAGGAGATCGCCGCTCTCCTGTATCGGCCAGGATTATCCATCTAACCTCAGCAGGTCTTCTGGTCCCTCCTCCTCCTTCTCTTCCTCCTCCTCCTCCCCACCTCCTCTTCCTAAACCAACATCGGTGATGAGTCTTGGGTTTGCACTGGTCCTCGACCTCCTGCTCCTCATCTCATCAATTATCATACTTGGTGGGACCCGAGTCTGTCAATAAGGACGTCGAAATAACAGTTAGTCACAATTGGGGGAGTTCTAACGGAGTACGTAGCCATCAGGGCGGCGCGTAAATCTACAGAAAAGACATCACCACCAACGCTCGCCTTGGCGCTTGTTGGCTCCCAGCCACGTTAGGGGACCGTGCACAAAGATCTGCGGCCCAAAGCGGGCCTGAGCTTGTCTGGGCTAGTGGTCTGAGGTTGCTTCTCATCCGATCTCCAACGTCCTGAACAGATAAATGTGCCAAGTCTTCTGAGTGGGCCTCGCGATACCCCTGCGATGCATCATGCGGAGAGCTCAGGAGCCCCGTTCGAGTGGCGTGTTGATTTGTTTGGCGACCACATTATTCAATCGCTTCCTTTATTCCGCCGGCCTAGATTGCATAATCGCCCATATTGCACAATTGCATTGCTCAAGTCAGTGATCGCTCAAGTCTCTCCCTTTTCCTCGCCCCCGGCCGCGCGCGATGGCAGACGCCGTCGGTGCCAGGAGCAGGCCCAACACGCGGGAGCCGGGCACCCCTCTCGGAGGCGAGCGAGACGTTCGACAAGGGCTGTTCAGCCCGCTGCGCACGATGGACGGGGATGACGAGGAGGAGGATGCGAGACCGGCAGTTGCCACGCCCCCTACGCCTCCGGAAGCACACCAACAGCCTGTCACTCTCAGTGCCATCGCAGAGCTCTTGGAACAGACATTTGACGAACGTCTCCGGCCAGTTCTGGACACGGGTCGGGAGCTCCAGGACGTGGCGAGAGTAGAGGCGAACATGGACAACATTTGGGAAGGGATGGAGGAGAAGAACAACGACCTCATGGTAAAGATCCAGGCTGTAAATGATGATCTCCAGATTTTCAAGACGACCGTGGGCCCAGGAGGGAGGAAGGGCGGGAACGCGCAGGACAATCAATTCCAGCAGGACTTGCAGAAACAGATTGTGCAGCTGGAAGCGCAGGTGCGCGCCTTCATGAAAACCAGGAGCGAGGATATTCAGTTGATTGCAGTTTTTGGAGGCCTCGAGGGCATGGGGGATGAGTGGCCAGCATCCAAGTGGGTCGGAGGTCGGTTGTGGGCGGGATATGCTGCTTCAGCTTCTGAACTTTTCGTGTAGGAGGATTTCCAGGGGGTGGTGTGTGCGAAATTCCAGAGGCAGGAAGATCGTGATACAGCAGTTGCTACGAGAAGGAGTTTGACACACGTGACTCCCGACGGGTGGAGGGTCTGGGCCAAGGAGGAGCAACCCTTCGACACACGCGTTGCACGCCAGGTGCTTTTCGGAGCGAAGTGGATACTCTCCAAATGGGGGTTCGTGAAGTCGTCCATGTGGGTGGACGAGGACGCCTTCGCCCTGCGCATGGGGGGCGACCAGGTTTTTGCGGCCGTCGTGGAGGAGGGGGCCCTGAAGGTGGATTTCGAGGCCGGGTGGGAGGACGACTTAAGAGTGAGAGAACAGGGACAGGAGCCTCACAGACAGCCCGGAAAAATTCGCACGAGGAGCTGGTATGAAAGGGGCTGGGAAGGGTAGGCCAAAACCCTCCCAGCACTAGGGGCTCGGACGGCGCACTGGCGTTTCACACTCTGGGGAGGTTTGCGCATTTGTTTCTTCTCAAATCGGCGAAGGAGATGCTCATGCGACCGCCCTGGAGGTTTCACCAACCTTACCCTTGCCACCGAATGCGTTCACTGACCGGTTTCAGGAACGACGGGACTGCCCAAGGCAATTCCGGAGCAGAGCGCCCCCAAGACCGATTCACATGGGACGGTGCGCTTCGTGGAACGTGGAGGGCCTCTCAGATGACAAGCAGGTGGACGAAATAGCATTGAAATTGTTTGAGCTTGTCATGAAGGCGGGGGTATAGACGCTTTTGCATTACAGGAATCACATCTACCAGGTTCATCTCATTTGTTTGCACACTGTTTTCTTTGTTGTTCTATCTGGTGGGGACTTCGACGTGAGCATGCAGGTTTGGGCTTTCTTGTGTCGTCTCGCGCTCGAAATGCTACGTTGGGCTTGGCGCAGCGTAGCTCAAGGTTAGCGAGGTTACGGGTCCGAGCCGAAGGACGACACATCTACATCGTAATTGGGCACGCCCATCACAACGGGCGCCCGGTTGAGGAGCGACAAGAGTTTTTCACTGATTTGGAAGACGTTGTGGAGAAGACGAATATCCACGGTCGAATTGTTATTTGTGGTGACCGCAGTAGCAGGACACACAGACGACGCAGTGGGGAGCACGACGTCATTGGGCCATACGTTCACGGAAGTCCCGAAGCACAGATCGATGCCGCGAGCAATCGGGAGTTCTTGGTGGAAACATCTATGAACCTGGGCGTGGCGAGCGCGTTCTACGAACGCCCAGTGCACCAACAGGTCACGTATTTCGGCATTTGTGCTCGCCCACTTGATGAGATCACGGCGAACAAGTCTGCTGATATTGATCACGTACTGGTGCACGAACATTGGCTTGGAGTTGTTCGCGCTGTCCAGAGCAGGCGGGATAGAGCTTTGCAGTCGCGTCATGTTGTTGTGATTGTAGACCTAGGCGCCCAAGTCCCAAAGAAACCGATCAGGGAGAACGGGGAGAAGCAGGACGTCAGAAGTCTTGAGAGATCATCCGCCGCGAACGCATTATGTACATATGTTGCTGAGTTGTCCCGAGACACATTCCGGGATGTTGGAGATGTGGGAGTCGATGCAGTGGCGGACAGGGCGCGGTTTAGCATGCAGGTTGCTGCAGACAGTTTTTTTACATGTCCGCTCAGTCAGGGCCAAGAGGCCTTGGATTTGAGCGCCGACGGCCGACCTCATCGGGCTGAGGAACAATGCGAAGGCGCTGGGGCAGTTCGCGCCAGAATCCTCCCTGAACAAGCAGATCAGGTCAGCGGCGAGGAAAGACCGCGCGCCACGTTCAGACGAAGAATTAGCGAACGGCGGCTGTCTGGCCTGCAATGAAACGTCTTCGGGTGGGGCATGCCCGCCAACAACAACGCAGACTTCGCAACTCGGCTGGCGATTTGGTGGACGCCAGCGAGAGGGCAGACACCTTGGCGGTGCATTTGCAAGATATTCATTGGCAGCGAAGGCCAGGCGCAGGTCCTGGCGCGCCCGGTGAGCCGAGGCCCGGGGCAACGCGTGACACGCCCCTGGAGAGAGTTCTTGAGAGCAGAGCTCAAGAAAGTGCTTGCGCGGCTGCGGAGACGCCGAGCACGCGGGCCAGACAACGTGCCGCCCGACTTCTGGGCAGTTTTGGGCCGGAGTGATGGCGCCCTCGCGATGGTGCTGCGGCTGCGCAACCAGTGCTGCTACGGGATAGCCAGTTTGGCTTTCGACGTGGCCGTGGCGCAGATTTGGCCGGGCGCGCCGCGCAGCGGGCGCTGGCCGCGCAGGATCTCAAGGGCGGTGATTTGACAGCGTTGCTCTTCGATTGGTCCAAGGCAAATTATCGATCGCATCGACCCCGGCGCCATGCAAGCGGCGCTGCGCAGGCTCGGCCTGCCTGATGAGCGCGCGCGTGCGGTCGCATCCATCTACGGGCGCAGGACTTTCACCGCGCGCGATGTCGGCGAGGAGTCCGACGCTCGAGCGCAGCCTGCCGGCATGGCTCAGGGATGTCCTCTCTCACAATTCATAATGTCGTTGTCCGTCATCATGGAGGACGTGGTTCAGGAACGCGGGGGTCGCCGAACACATGGTCGAGTGCGCGGGCGATGCGACGCTGATCTGCCGGTCATCTGCTAGCTTACAATGCACTCTCGTCAGCTTTCTCTCGCGCGCTGCTCCGCGCGGGTCACGACCGAACTGGGGCAAGACCGCTGCCAAATTACGATATGAGCGGCCACCCCGTCCCGAAGGCGGAGCAGCGCGTCTATCTGGGCGGTCTGCTCACTACCACTGGCAGTGCCAGGCGCGCCGTGGCGCGCAGGTTGGGCGAGGCGGGCAGCGCGGTCACGCCCCCGAAGAAGGCGTGGAATCATTCGTCTTTCAGCCGGACAAGAAAACAACGCATCTACGAAGCATGCATCGTCACATAATTGGCGTGCAGCTTGGAGACGGAGCGGTTGAACAAGATAAAATTTTCCCGTGTCAATGTGTGCCGCGTGTGCTGCCTGAGGAAGATTTGGGGCATCCCGCGCCCGATAATATCCTGGGTATCCAACCGGCAGGTTTTGGACGTTGCGTCGCGGGTCCCGTGGGCTGACCAGCTGATCGCCAAACAGTTGTGTTTGTTCGGACGGGTGGCCATGATGCCGGACACTTGCATTGTGCGACGTGCTGTGTTCCAACCTTCTTCAACAAGTTTGGCACGCCCAGGCGGCGCTAGAAGGCGAGGGCGCCCAAGAGAGTCCTTGGGCCAGAGAGAAAGCTCATGCATCGAGCGCCGTGTAGCACGACAAAGGCCGTTTAGCAGCGGCGCTGTCGAGCGACAGCGGTTCTCTCCAAGGGTGGAGGGTCACTGTCCAGCAACACTGTCGCATTGTTTCATAGTGAATTGCCTGCTGTCGTTGCCCCTGCCAGTTCCCCTCTTGTTCCTCCCCCCCCTCCTGCTTGCGTTTGCTCAAGCAAGCCACTATGAAGATGTGCTTGTGTCACTACCACTTAAGTGCTACTGCAACCGATGTGCCGTCACGGCACGGCTTTTCCAGTCCAGTCCAGTTTCGCCGCGGAGTCGAGGCCAATGCGACGGCGCCGGGGAGGAGAAGGAGGATGATGAGGGTGGCGAAGGGGAGAGGAGGAGGAGGAGGAGGAGGAGGAGGAGGAGGAGGAGGAGGAGAGGAGAGAGGATAAGAAGGAGAGGAGGAAGAGGAGGAGGAGGAGGAGGAAGAGGAGGAGGAGGAGGAGGAGGAGGAACAGCAGGGGGCGGAGGAGGAGGCGGACGAGGAGGAGGCGGAGGAGGACGCCTATCGTTGGCATTTTGCGTCGTGCATGGGGCCAAACCGGGTCGTCGTCAAGATGTTTCTTTGACAGGACTTGTGGGGTCTCTTGGGGAGGCATTGTTGATGTCTCCTGGGGCCTCTCGGGAGCGTCTTCGGGCCTCTTTGCACCGCCTAGGGGCCTCCTGGGGCCTCTCGAGGCCTCCTGGGAACCTTCTTGGGATCTATCGGGGGCCGCTTGGGGGCCTCTTCGGGGCATGTGGGGGGTGCCGATGAACCCTTTTTAGGTAGGGGGCTCCTTGAGGGCCTCTTGGCGCTTCTTGGGGCATCTTAAAGGCCTCTTGGGGTACCTCGGGGCCCTCGAGGGAGCCTCATGGGCCGCATTATTGGGATGAGTTTTGGTGCCTCCCTGGCCGCATCGGACGCGCACGCGGGGTATGGTAAATATGCACGCTTCCCCAATGGAATGGAAGCATGGTTGCCGCTCGAGGATATCCTGAGAGGCCTCTTGGGGACCCCTTGGGCCGCTTTGAGGCCAGCTTGAGCCCTCTTGGAACGCTCTTGGACCGTTTTCGGGCCTTCCTGCGTCTCTTCGGTTTGAGGGCAGCTTGTGCTGTATTGAATGCTTCGCGAGCAGTCTTGAACCCTCCTGGGGCCGTTTGTGTTTCCCTGTCATCTCGGAGGTGGATAGACCTACCCTGACACGTCGATTAAGGAATTGGCCGCTTTCGGTTCGCGAGAGGGCGTCGCGGCCGTCATTTTTGCGGGTCCAGGTCCGTCGGTTTCGGTCCCAGGCCGTTTTCATTAAGGGGAGGTTTATTGAAGGGAGGTGTGTCCACCGCCGAATATCGGATAGCCACGGTCGTGAAGGTCGAACGGTTCACGCGGCGTCAGAAGCTTCTGTCCCCCGCGGGGGCGCGAAGATGATCGCGTTTCCGCGTCGCGGTCTCGGCGGGGGAGCCGCCCTTATGAAAAGATGCCCTCGCGAGGGCGCCAAGGTGACCGCGCGCCGCTCGTCGCGGGGCGCGGGGCGCGAAGCCAGGTGGCCTAGGAAAGCAACGCAGACGACGACGTTGTGACGTTGACCTGTCGTGCATTCAATCAAGGGCGCAAAAACACGTCCTACCCTGGTTTACGAGGCGATGTGCGCTGAACCTCCGTGGGGCTGGCAGGATCAGGCCTGCGTGATGTGCGGCGCCTTAGCGGCTTTCCAGGCTCTGGGACTTCCCAGGAGGTTTACAGACCACGCACTTGTAATCCAGGGTAGGGTCGTTTTTTGATCCCGGTATTCAAGACGCTGAAGCATGGACCACTTTGGACTCGGGAGTGGCTGTGGTTTCCAGGCCACTCCTTATAGGTTGTGGAACCCATTCGTGGCTCATCTGGGGCAGGACAAAGCCCCTTCGTCTTTCCGTCAGCGTTCCTTCTGGGAGCACGCCGACTGGAGAGGCCTGTCGCGCATGACTGCTCCCCCCTTGCTCCTCTTGCTCCTGCCTCTCCTTCCCTTGTCTAGGCCTCCATCCTCCCCTCCCTTTGTGGGCTGAAGCAGGCTTCCTGCTCCGCCTCCTCCTAATTCTGCTGCTGCTCCTCATCCTCCTCCTTATCATCATCCGCATCATCATCAGCATCAGCATCAGCATCAGCATCAGCATCGTCGTCATCATCAACATCATCAGTATCATTACCAGCATCATCAGCATCATCAGCATCATCATAATCATCGTTTACAGTATCATTAGCACTGCCATTATTATTATCATCATCATCATCGTCATCATGATCATCGCCAGCATCATCACCAACATCATCACCATCATCAACATCAGCATCAGCATCATCCGCATCAGTATCATCATCATGAGCAGCATCATCAGCATCATCATCAACCTCATCATCATCGTCATCGTAATACTCATCATCGTCACCATCATCATGATCTGCATCGCCATCGTTATCATGACCGCCACCATCGTCATCGTCATCATCAGCATCATTAGCAGCAGCAGGAACATCATCATCATCATCATCATCATCATCATCATCATCATCATCATCATGTCAAACTCTCTCCCCTCGCCTCCTCCCCCTCCTTCCCTGTCCCTCGGGAGATCTGGCACCAGAAATGCACCGAATTCTTGCCAACCAGCATCGTACAATTTGCGTTCGTTGTTCGGATCACTCGTCTCTTTTCATGTGTTTGCACTGTACCCAGTATGTCTGCAATGCACAGGTTCGCCTCTCGAGTCCAACCTATACTTGAAGCGCTTACCAGAGACCCGAGATGGCCACCCAAGAGCTCCTGTCCCGGCGAGCTCCGCACTGGGGTCCAGCCTCTCCGTCAAGGAGATGAGGAGACGCGCCTCCAGTTATGATGTCCCAACCTACTTTCGGCCTTGACCATCAGAAAAGAATTTCGAGCGCCAAAAAAAGTACCGAAACGCGGTTTTCACGTGTCGGGCCCTGGGAGACACTCGTCCGACACTGTTTTGACACTATTTCGACACTCTTTCGACACTTTTCGGGGTGCTCGAATTTTTTTCTGAAATGTGGTCCCTAAGTGCGATAGGAGCAGCATAAACCTCCAGTCCTATGTACACGGACTCTGTGCTCCCACCCCCTCCTCCCCTCCCCTGCGCCGCCCGCCGCGAGGAGGGCTGGACCCTGCTCGAGGAGCTCGCCGCCGTGCGCGACCGCGCCCTGTCGCTGAAGAAGCTCGGCGGGGCATGGGGGTGGGATTCATTCTGGCGTGTCCCCCTACAGGGGGATTTTGGGCGAAAAATCGGAGGTTGGGGGGTGAGTTGCAGTGAAACGGAGACCCCCACCGGGAAATCGGTTTCGGTTTCGTGTTCGTGTCGTGCGTGCGGGCGAGGCGAAGCTAGGCCGAAGTAGGAGCGAAAGTCCGTTCCCGTCCGCCGGTGGCTGGGAGGTGTCCCAGTTGGGCCGGGCGGTGTCCCAGGTGTCCCGGGTGTCAGTAGGAGCGAAAGTCCGTTTCCCGTCCGCGGGTGGTTGGGAGGTGTCCCAGTTGGGCCGGGCGGTGTCCCGGGTGTCCCGGGTGTCTCGGGCGTCCCGGCGCTAACGCATGTCGCTAAGTTCATAATTCATTTTTTTGTTTGGCGCTTGCGGCGGGCTTTCTTATCCAATCCAATCCATCTTGTCTAATCCAGTCCATCTTATCTTGTCCAACCCATCTTGTCCCATCTTATATTATCCCAGCCAATCCAATCCACCCAACCAAATCCATCAATTCATTTGTTTCTGCGCCTGCGGCGGGCCAATCCAATCCATCATATCTTATCCAATCCATGTCTTCAAATCCAACCCATCTTATCTTATCCAATCCATCTTATCCGATCCAATCCAATCCACCCAACCCAATCCATCAATCCATTGTTGTCGGCGCCTGCGGCTGGCTTTCTTATCCAATCCAGCTTATCGTATCCAATTCATCTTGTCCAATCCAATCCATCTTATCTTGTCCAACCCATCTTGTCCCAGAGAGAGAGGAAGAGAGATGATATCTCGTTCCCAGACTATTATTCAACTATTTTTGAATATTCCTCCTGCAGGGGGACAAGCCCGACTTACGGGTGGGAGGGCGCCGAGACGGGCGGGGGGAGGGCTGGCGGCGCGCGCAGGGGGGTGGAACGAGTGGGGCGGCCTTCTGAGACGGCGGGGGGCCTCTCAGAAGCCCTCCGGGCTTCTGAGAGGCTTTCTCGGAACGAGGGGGACCGAGGGGGAAGGAGGGTGGAGGGAGGGCGGAACGAGGGGGGGCCTCTCAGAAGCCCTGCAGGCTTCTAAGAGGCCTTCGCGGAAGCCCCCGGCCCTTCCAAAAAGCGGTCCCCCCGCCGTCCAAGGCGCTCCCCCGCCTTTTTCTGGGAGGCCGCACCCCTCGCGCCACCCCTCTTGCGCGTGCCGCCAAGAGCTTGGCATCGCTCGGACGTGTACATTTTTCTTTATTGGCAGGAGCCATCGAGGAGCATTCTTGGATCCTCCTGCGGAAAAAGACACGCACGAAGCCGAACAATGCACGGGGAATGGACGTCCGAGCGATGGCGAGAGAGGGGGAGCAGCCGCAGTCGCCACGAAACGAGGAAACGCAAACATGGTTTCAGGCGTTTGGATTAGCGACGAGTCTGGCTTTCTTTGCGGGGGGCGTCGTTGCGTGAAATCCGACGCCGAGCCTAAGGTCCGGGTCAGTTATGAGGGTCGTGTGGCGATCGCGGCGGCGGCGCAGAGTTGCTGACGAGGAGTGGCATGCCCCTTGCAAGGGGCCCCCCTGCTCTGCGATACAGACGCGGCTTTCACTGAACCATACAGCGACAGAGAGCTGCCATTGTAAATCCAACGTGGGCAGCCGTTTTTTACTGTTTGAGAGGGGCCGGTTATCACGCAACCAGAGCAGCCGCAGTCGCGGTGCATCGACGTAACGCAAACATGGCTTCAGGCGCTTGGATCGGCGACGCGTTCCGCTTCCATGCAGAATCGGGCGCGCGCCGTCGCCAAGTCGGGCGGCGGTAGCCCTATGGCTCCTGCAATCCGTGCTGACCACGAGCCAGATCCGCGGAGCCGTGATCGATGTTAACGTACGTAGAAGCCGTGCCATGACGGCACATCGGCAACAGTGCGATCAGTCAAAGTGAAACGGCGTATGGTCGAACATCGGTTTTCCACGTGTTGAAGCAGCCGTTGTCTCTACCCAGAGCGGCGGAAAGACGATGTACGTCTCCTCCGAAAGACGATGTTAGCGCGCGCGCCCGAATGAGGCAAACGGGTCCTGAGGGACACGGGTCCTGCAGTGTTTTGGGGGTTTCTTTGGCCCTCCACGGGCCCGGGGCTCGTCTGGAAACGACTCGGGATGAACAGCTCGTCCTGGCGAGCCCTCGTCGGCACTGTTGGATGCTCTTCGGAAGTCTCCTCGGAACGCACTTCTGGAGAGGCCCAGGGAGTTGCGGCATCGATACCATGTTGTTTCCCCACCGTCGTCATGAAGCAAACGGGTCCTTAACGGGTTTTGAGGTGTTTTGGTTTCCGTGTTTTTTTTTTTGGGGGGGGGGGGGAGGGGGGGGGGCGATCTTCGGGCCTTCTGCGGGGCCCGGGGCCGCTTGAGAAGGACACTGGATCGCCCTGGGCGAACGTCCTGGGTTCCACGACCCATTTCCTCCGGGGCCCGGTCGCTTGGTGCCACAGCAGGAGTAGGAGGAGCAGAAGGACGGCGAGGGAGGGGATGGATTGGGAGGGGGCAACAGGAGGAGGAGGAGGAGGAGGAAGAGGAGGAGGAGGAGGAGGTCCGTTGCCATTTTGGCTCAAGTGGGAACAGGTCCCATTTTGGGCGGGCAGTTCTTTTCCGAACTATCCCAGCTATCCAACGTGTCGCGCGCTGGCGGACACTCAGTCTCTCTTACATTCCGTATTGTAAGTTCGTGGTGTAGCTGAGGGTGTTTCAGAAGTCTTGTGCAAGCGATAGATGCCGGATGTGGTCGAGCGGACTGCTACATAACACCCTCCGAGGACAGCCCGTGGACAGGACGGTCGTCGGCGCCCCGCAGCAGGACAGGATGAAGATGAAAAGTTCGGCTCGGCTGACGAAGGTGGGTCTCTCCGCGATTTTCCCGCTCGTCCGTCTCCTGGTATTGGTGTTCCTGCTTCTCCTCAGCGTGGCCAGTCCGTTCAACCTGACCATGGATCACTGGCGTTCGAGTCCCACGTGGACTCGTCCCACACGAGCAGGTCGGGCTTCGCATGCGGAAGGCAGAAAGTATGTTCAGTGGCCACGAGAGTCGCACCAATACTTTGGATAACCCGATCCAACACTTCACGGGGCATATGTGGCGCATCAAAGTTGAAGAACCAGTTCTTCAATCTGCGCCGTCTAGTTTCGACAGGCCCCCGAAACCCACCATCCTGGTCGTCCGCAGCAAGGAAATGGCCTCTGCTTCAGCTGTTCGTGATGCTGTCTCCCCGTGGCTGACCGAAGCCAGCCTCGAGGTCGAAGACTGGGAGATCAGCGCTTCGGCGACCTCACCGACGGCGAAGCGGCGCATCATTCATATCGCGGGCAGTTCGCAGTGGGCTGCGCACTCTGTTCGCCAAGCATCCGGTGCACTCCGCAATCGCAACGGGTCATGGCGCAAGTTCTCAGCTCCCACGCCGATAGGCGCCACTACGGGTCTCTTCATCAGCGCTGGCAAGAATCAATTCCAGGTGCGACGCGAACTTGGACGCAGACTCATGCGTCGCGAGTTCGAGCAGGTATACCCAGACAAGCGGTTCTTTGTGGATCGTGAGCGCGGTGAGATATCGCCGGCATGGAAGAGGCCCCTCCGCCAACCTCGCCGCCCAGGGCCCTAGCAAGGAGCACCTCGAGCTCCGCGCGCTGGCGCCGCCCCAGGCGCAGGCTGATTCTCAGAGGAGCATGAAGCATTGATAGTGATAGTTCCCCAGATGTTCAGGCTGCCCCGTTCTTCTGCGCGGGTTCCAGGGGCGAATGGTCGAGCGCATTCCGTCGCGTAGGTTCTTTGCGCGATGCTCGCGGTGCACTTTTTTGCGCATCGGAGCGCCCTCGAAGATTCGAAGCTGCATGCTGTGTTGCTCTTGGGGGGCCCTCGAGTCGCAGCTGCCGTGGCGCTGTTTTCGAGGCAGCCCCTTCGAGCGCTGTTCGCGGGCGCAACGCGCGGCGCGCGGCGCGCCCACTCGCGCGCGGCGCGGCGCGCGAATCAGCAGGCCGCGCCCGTCGGACCGCCCGGGAATGTCAGAAAGCGCGCCCGTTTTTCTGGCGCGAGCGGTTCCGGAATTTTTCAAAAAGGAGCCCCGCTATTTCCCCGGGCAAAAAAGTTTCGAGGGGTGGAATGCGCCCGCCGCGCAGGACATCTGAATAATTCTGAAATCCGGAATTTGTCAGAATGGATTCCGGAGTTTTTCAAAATCGACCCCGGAAAATTTCAAGAACGATTTTGGCATTTATCAAACAAGTAGGCCGGACATGGTCAAAAACGGCCCCGGATCTGTTCAATTTTACCCCCGGAGAATGTTCCAGAGTCGCGCGTAATTTGCCTTGCCAGGTCTTTGGAAATCCGCGGGGGCGCGCGGTGCGCGGCGGCGGGGCGACTGGACGGTGGGCCGCCGTTCCCCCCGCGCTCGGCATCGAGAAGGGGGGTCAGCGCATGCCAAGTAGCCCCTTACGGGCGACCACTCGATTGCGAATGGGTGACCGACCAGCGGCGCCAGCCAGAGTAGACACTTCTCGACGCAAAGTGCACCCCGCGCGAAGGCTGTTAGAAATCCCGGAATCTCCGGAATGTATCAATAGCACGTTATGTCAACAGATTCTTCTCGTCCTAGATGCTGGTGAGTAGTCTCTTGAACAGAATTGCGAAGACCTGGCTCGCTTCCAGTTCCCCCGGAGCCCCCCGCAGATTCGTCAGCTGGAATGCGAGCGCTCTGTTTCCACCGCCGCTGCCCGACCCGTCCCAAATCATTTCGTTGCCCCGCCTCTCTCCTGTCTCCCCGCAGCGCGGCCACCGCGCTGGAGACCTGCGGCGCCGAGGGGGGAGCTCATGACATTGCTAATCCGTTTCGCAAGCCGCGGCTGCAAGATGATCACTGACCCCTCAGACGCCGCAGTGCCCCAGTGGATGCCCGACCCCTGCCCCGCTGGCGTCGTCGCGCTGGCCCCAGTTCCGTCGAACCCACAGGCCCACTTGGAGTCGTCTGCAGAGG